CAATTTATGTCTACTTTGCCATACAACAATGATATCCTCAGTTATTATAACGCGCGATCCAATCCAAAGATGATTTATAAAAGCGATTCATGATTCCATTTTTGTGGGGACAGATTGTACAATAGCTCTCATTATCTGATTTTGAGCGTCCGATAATTTTATTATCAAATTCAGGTCGTCACATTGTATGTGTTGCTTGAATGTCTTGCATTATTGATCTGTTACGTGATTATTGTATGATGTATGGTAGTTTAGAAATTTGTATATATCTCCCATTGATGTGTATCTATGCATCTAGATAGGTATACCAGATGATGTAAATCCACAGAGATTGAGTTGAATCAGTGAAATGTACGACACATATGATGTAATACCTTTGTTTCATTTTAAAGTTTTTTTTGCACAACACCGGAAATTCTGTGCTTGATCAATGAACTAATCTCCGGGTCAACATTTGTTTGAAACAGCTGCTGCGATCACAATACGGTCACTCGTGATGTTTATATCAAATGCGGCAAATTATAAATATTGTGTATTTCGTTATAGATGAACTACATTTTGTTACACAAATCGTGTAATGTAATATCAATAACAAATGACGGGCGACAGTTTGGCGCCACTTGATGATAAATTCATTATCTTTTGCTTAGTTTAATTAAAAGTGTCGAATTCGAATTACAGACAAGCTCTGTAAAACAGTTCTCCTTGAGGTGTATCAAAATATACAACATTTGTAAAAGGAGATCACGTGACGTGAAAGGGTTTTACTGGTACTCGCGAATGTTGAATATAGTAGACACTGTAAACATCGTTTTAATGTTGACGATAAAACGGACACAAAACACACAGTTATCAGATCAGAAAGGGTCGCTCAAGTGAAAAGCTGGCGCAAATCCACCACAGGCTGTTACTAAGCGTGATTTATTTATCATCATCGAGGTTTACTGAATACCATGTATCGTTTGTAATATTTTTTTTTATATTTCATGAATAGTCACAGTAATGAATAATAGCCAATAGTCAATATCTGTAAAGCCATGTCGTGAAAATCGTGTCGTCAATTATAGTATATTGGTCTATATGTATTTCAAGTGATATATTACCATGATGAATACCATATTGTGCTGGTAGTGCCGAAATGGCAAGGTCTTTGAGAAAGTTAATTCATGCGTTCGCCCCAATTGTCTCCCTGTTGGTTAGTCGCAATATTAACCGTCACTATCAATTTTAGATCCCTGATCAACTACGACGTGTTTTTTAATACATCGTTACATATCCCTGACACGGATTAACCAATTACTGACTGGTATGTTTGAACCCCCTGGGGGAGGGAGGGAGTGGAATAGGGCGGTTGAAATTATGTTTTCAGGACACATGGTTTAATAATCATAGTTTATTAATCGTTGTTTACAAGTAAATGTCGCGAGGTAGGTTCAATTATGAATAGTTAAATCTGAAATGCAATATCGAAATCTCAATCACATCAAATTTACGCAATAGATTTGATCCATTTCTAAAAACTATTCTCACAGAGCTATGTAACACAATATTACATGGCTGTCACGCCACATTTCCGTCACATGTCTCCCCCATTTTCATAGCTGTCAATTACATCCTTAGGCTCCTTTGTGGTAGAGTTAATTTACACAATTTATGCGTCTGTTCTATAGGCAGAATTATATAAATTTTTAATCATGTAAAAATGTGCGCGTAACGTAGTTCCTGATTACTGCATGACCTCGTTGTGTCCTATGTTTTATAAGGACTGTAACAAGTTATTGAAAAGTGTAAAAAAGAGTAACTTTTGATTAAAGTATTAGAAGCTGTTTGGACTCTTACATGGCAACACATAGACGTAGGTGAGCAATCTAATGAAGGCAGCGTTTCGTAATAATAATGACGTACGATTCGATCAGTGGGTGTTGAGTAAAATTACATAAATACTTGAACTGAATACAACATCGTACATCATCATAAATATTACGGTTTACATGTATGAGTTGTGCGGCTGGTAATGACAGATTAATGAAAACTAAACTAATACAAAATTGTGCTGCTTTGGCCAAATTTAATATAATTCACCGCATACGGGCAGCAGAAGTGTGTAGATCGACCTTTTTTAATAACGTAAAAATGTTTTGTTGATCTGTTTGTAAACAATAAACCCACCTTTACAAACTTCTAGCATATTATAGATTACCGGGGATATTTTTACAAATAGACTTAGTTTGTATGAGTTTGAACGTTTTAGTGGGTCTTTAAACAAAGTGTGAACAACTATTTTGACACAAAGAGGAGTAGATATGGCATGCACATATACGTTGTTACAAACCCTACAGCCACAAATGTCACTGTTGACCACAATATTTAACACAGGGATTTGCGATCTTGCATTGAGGGTTTATTTTACAATATTTTCTACTTAGTAGATGTTTAATTGGGCTGATATGATGTTTGACACATGTTTCATACCTTTATGACTTTTATATTCGTGTAACCTTGACATCCCAGAAGTGAGTCTCAAAAATTACTAATCTCGAATTTGACATGAGGACATCCATTAAAGTACAGTTATCATATTTGGAGAACGTTCATTCATTGATCAAATAGGGGGGGGGGTGGATTTTCCCGAATGTTGTTAACATTTACAAATGTTACGTTGCGTTGGTTACACCAACAGTTATGCACTCAAATGCCGTTTTTATTCGCGTACAAAATAGGTGCAAATAAAAAGGTCCGTATATTCTTGCAATGTCCCTTTTATTAAAAGAAGCAATTCAATCTCAGCGGCATTTACAAATAAAACATCAGTGGCGCATATTACGAGACAAGTTAAAATGTAAATAAACTGTAGTATGTCGAATTGAATCTGTAATATGGGAAATGTGATCACATGGGTGATACATCATTGTAACTTTCATATTAAATTGAGCTGTCAATATGATCAATCACGAAATATTTCGTATTAACAAATATAGACTAATGAATCCAGCAAAGTTGATGACTATATTTGAAAATAATAAGAAGAATATTTTAAAATGTTACTCAAAGAGAGGACAAACTCTGACATTCACGGCAAAGATCATAACTAACATGAGTTGGGTTTCTGTTTTCTCTCGAATATATAAATCAAAATCACTATTATGTAAAGATGTCAACTTTTAACGTCGGGTTTCGGGGACGTGACGCGATCAACCATAAATTGTATCCAATCTCGATGAAAAAGTCAATTTAGTGAACTATCCGATTTTATCACGGGTGTGATTATTGACTTCGGTAACGCTGATATCAATCAGGAAGCGATTAGAAAGCGCGACTGCAGTCAACGATAAATACAATCTCATTATATATACAATAACAGTGTACGGGGTATCCTGACAGTCACGATGTGAATACCGCTTATGTGTTCTACGATGAATTATACAGCTTTAACCGAGACTGTTTTACGAGCGTACAATTGACTTGACTTTAAGTATGTCTCGCGATAAGAGTGTTTTACGCATGGGGTGTATATACTTGTTCAAACTATATAGCGTAGTTGAGTTCAAACTATATAGCGTAGTTGAACCATTTTTTTTTCAACACTTGTACTCACTTTTATTTTTGAAACCAACCGTTAACATAGTACAAGTTATAATTATGATTTAAAATCAAATTGATTATATTGTCATAGTCGTCGTGCTGCGTCACGTTCGATATTGGAAACCAGGTGACGTATACAACGAGTGTAACATATATTGTTTGTTTATCTGATTTGCGTAACATATGCACAACGAGGCCATGATTTGTTGTCGTTTTTCCTTAGTATAGATACTACAAATTATGCTACTTATTGCTAATAACTTAAAACAATAAACGCACGAGAATGATAACTATAATAGACACTATGTATCTGTGCAGCAATTATAACAGTTTATAGATATATTTACTTTACTTTTTTTTGCAGCAATTCCATCTGCATTCAACATAATTATATCAGAAATGACAAATAATTGCATTATAATGAGCTATCAAGTTTAAGTAGTGACAGACATACATGACAAACATCACGGACATACCCCTTTACTGATAGTTAAATGAAGGGTACGAGAACGATAACGGTATAACAACTTAATGGACTACCCGATATTTGCATACCTAATTACTCATATTGACAAATTGAAGATAAAAATGCATGATGGCATATTTGTGAAAGATCAAATAATAATAATAATAATAGTTTACTGCAAAAAGGTTTAGATGGAGTGATCAGGTTGCATTCCGGTTACATGAGAATAGTCTGGTGACGTGTTGTTACCCATGATACCGACTGGAAATTATATTTTGGCTGTTCCGATAGACGTGGAACTTGAAACTGCGTATGGAAACCATACTTTGGCGACTCAAGCACTACTACCGTTACAAATATTCGCGCGATTAAATACATGATAACACAATACTCCGCCCCCTGTAGCAAACGGACATATATTTAATTGTTTTATTTGATACACAATGCTGGAATCTAACAAAATGTCATCGATCGCGGATTTATTTGTTAACAGAAATACGTTTGTGTCACTTTAGCATCGGCTGAGGCCTGGTTTGCAATGAGTCTTATATTCATATCAATATTTCTAGGTGTAGCGTTGATGTAGCGTTTCCCCCACAGTGCCGATCATATGTAAGTAGATTTCTGAAACAAGGTCAAGGGTTTACGCTTCCTGGATGATATATGTGTGACGTGCGTAACTGAGACACCCGCGACCAGGACAAAAAGCACTGAAGAGAGCTTCCCCTGGCATACCGTCATGCATTGCGGGGTGTATTTCATTGTCAGCGGTAAAATAGAGTCATCATACACCGTTCGCGGCTGTTAATATCAGTTTGTGTTATCGCTGATACAAGTACATTGCGAGTATTCCTATAAAGAAACTGTTATTGAAGAGAATACCCAGTCACATTGTACAGAATGATACGTTCGTACTGATCTTCATTTGCTGGTGTCTGCTACAACGCGAGTGATGGAGTACGTTAGCAATTCTTCTCACTGGACTCCAACCATCGCCGCGATTGGAAATCCTAGCGACGGTTACTCCGTTAACGACTACATGTATAATAGCAACGACACGTTCTCCCCGCCAGGACCGCCGCCGATTGAAGTATGGCTACCCTCCGTCCTAGTGTACGCGATCACTTTCGTGGTTGGTCTAATCGGTAACGTATTAGTGATATTTTCAATACAGAAATGCAGAAGTCTCCAGAACGTGACCAACACCTTTCTGGCAAGTTTGGCCACAGCAGACCTGATAATAGTCGTGATCGTCATACCATTCCAAACACCAACCTATTTCCTCTGGAAATGGGAACTGGGAGAAACTGTCTGCAAATTACTGCCATACCTTACGTTGCTTTCCAGCGCCTCCTCGGTTTTTATGCTCACTACTCTGAGTATTGAAAGGTAGGTAGATCCTTCAGTTCGTACCATATATATTATGGTACCATATATATATATATATATATATATATATATATATATATATATATATATATATATATATATATATA